CAGGAAGCCTGCTTCTCCCTCTCCCAACCCCCTGCTTGTGTTCCCTCTCTCGCTGGGTCTCTGTCAAATAAATAAATAAAATCTTTAAAAAAAAAAAAAATGTGCACAGAAAGAGTCCTTGAATCAAGAGATGTTTGAATAAAGAACCTTAGAGACAGTCTACACAACCCTTAAAAAAGTCCAGAGGGATTTAATGGTTTGCTTAGGGTCAGTCGGGTAAATGGGAACAGAATCAAGGCTGGAGTCTGATCACATGGCTCCTCTCTTAGATAAGCATCTGTCCCCCAAGTTTTAACCCTAAAAAACTCCTTGGTTCCTACTCTACCCTTCAACTTCTTACTCAATCACTTATTTTGTTTTAGTTAAAATGTGCCTTTCAATTTGACATTTCCCAAATATTTAAAACAAATTCCTGCTGATATTTACTTATGACTATGCCAAAAAAAGCAGCACAGACCACTGATGAAGGACAGTCTTTAGGGTCAGGGAGACCCAGCTTCTGGCTCTGCCCCTGGGGAATCGCTCTGGTCCCAATAATCATCTGACCTTCTCTCAACTTCACCTGTCTCTTCCTTAAAAGTGAGTGTGTACCTAACTCACAGGAGTGTGGTTAGACTGAATAAAATGGAGGATGTCAAGAACCGAATGTACTGATGGTCACAGAATTCAGAGCTCAAGAAATGTTACCTATTATACACTGTTTCATATCCCGATTTTGATACCCATCATTATCCCTGAAGAGCTTCACAGGTAGTGTTCTCAAACTTCACTGTGTGTAACAATCACACTGGTGAACTTGTGAGTGCAGATACCCTCAGCCCCACTCCCAGTGACTCTGATTATTTAACCTGGAAAAGGCAGGAATCTGCATTTCCAAGCTCAAGTGTGATTTGGATACAGGTAGTCCATGGAATGGAAACAGTGCTCCTAGATAATGAAAAAGATACCGAGAGGTTAAGAGACGAGCAAAAGCTTAAGTGATCACAGCCTTAATTAAATACAAAATGGCAAGGAGTGAAGGAGTGCTAATTCCTTTGGCTGTTTTTCCTTCCACAACAGTCCTAATTTTTTTTTTTTTTTGCCTTAAACTTATGTTGGGCCCCATTAGTCAATGTTATATACAATATGAAGATTATTTCCCAGTTTATAAAGGTTAGGACTTCCAGTTATACAACCAATTAAATATTTATGGAACTCAAAAAGGTCAGTACTCAGGTCCCCGTAAAACTCCAGTTTTCCATCCTGGATTTCAGCCACACCACCTGTTATTGTCCCCAGAGAATTTAAGGCTGAACCATTTTACTTACTGGTATATTTGCAAACAGAAAGAAAAAAAAAAAACACAGAAAAATAATATGTATTCCGACCTTTCAATACAAACTGAAACAAGCTAAAAATGTGGCTAAACACAAGCATGAAACTATATTCTACCTTGAGAAACCCTGATGGGGAATGAGTGTGAAGCAAATCGCATGCAACAGCTGCCCCTTTGGGTAAGGCTTTTCCAATTAAGTGTCAATTCCAAAACCAGCAACAAAAACAGAGCTGACAGTGGCAAGAGTTTCAGAACGTAAATGTACAGGTTCGAAATTACCTTGCTCCAGTCTAAAGCACAGGGAACGCCTTGCTGCTTCCATCTCTGGAGTCGGGTTATCTAGGACGTGTCTACACCACTGCAAAGGGCTCAGGGATTTCTCTGATGATGTGAATGTCTTTGAAGAGCCAACGTATAACCTTAAAAAAAGAAATCTACATTATAGGTATTATATAGGTATATAGAGATGACCTCCCTTCTAGGGAAAACAACATGTATTTCACAGTTTCTATGGACACAAAACTCACATTGGATTACTTCAAATACCAAAAGTATTTTTTAACAGGCAAATACCCCCAAATAAAATGTGATGCTTTCTGTAGCTTGGTGGGAAGGAGGACTTCACAAAACTATGAGAACTTAGGTCTCAGAGTCAGAGATCGGAGGCTTTTGTTATTGAACCAGCCTTGAACAGGCACTGTGATGATCTGACTACCTCACTTGTGTTCGTACAAAGGAACACTTTCATCTCTGTCTCTGGCAGCAGAAGGCTACAGTAACTGGGCTAATGTATGTAAACATGACACGGCAAACAAGGCAAATTTTATGTGCTTTAAAAAAACAAGTCTATAAGTGAAAGGCTATTGATTCTCTCAACTCTTAAATAATCAGATACCCCCCATCTCAAATCTGTACTAAACTTGGTATGTGCTTCTTTCTCACAAAAGCCAAACAGCTTCCAAAGATAGGTTTTAGGAAAAAATTGCTTTCAGCATCTATACTATTACATAGTAATGGGTAGAATTCAAAATAACCACCATGAGGCACTTTAAGTTAAAGGTTTTCTCTCTGATATATGGTACTAAGGTAAACTACAGAATATTTTCAGTCACAGGGTTATACAAAAAGAGTTAATCTTTTCGGTTGACTAAAAGAGAAAGAATTATAATCCCTGCTTCTAGTAATTAACTTTATTTACAAAGCTGTATTGTAATTACAAATCGCATTAAAGTAACACTCCTTTAAACAAAGTTACCATAATTCTAATGAGTACATATTCTTGAAATATCATGCTTCATTATTCACTCTCATACTCTTATAGTCAGGAGCCCCCACCTGTCAAGATAATTTCTCAGCTATCCAAGACGGTTGAGGAATGGTACTATTCTTCAGTAAAATCTTCTTACAGATCAGAGGTTGGCAAACTTTTTCTATAAAGGGGTAGCTAGTCAATATTTAGGCTTTGTGGGACACACAGTCTCTGTCACAACCCCTCAATTCCACTATGGCAGCCCCAAAGCATCACAGATGACATGTAATGTGAATAAGTAGGCTGTGTTCCTATAAACTATTTATAGACACGGAAACTTGAATTTCCCGTAATTTTCAATGTCATGAATTAGTATTCTTCGGCTTTTTTTTTTTTTTTTTTTCAGTCATTTAAGAATGTAAAAATCTTGCTGACCAGCCATACACACCATGCCGCAGGGCTAACTTGCCCCCCCCCAAGACACAGTCTGCTAACTCCTGTTACAGGTGCAGATTCTAAAATGTCGTTTAATCGATTCAGGAGTAATCCTAATATATCATTCTTCCCTTGGTGGACCACGGGCCTCCCTTCATCAAGAGTATATGGATTATTCGTGGGCCCACCTCAGTCTACTCTGACAAGATTCATACCTACCTATGTAAATCCATCCTTTCACCTTCCCTTGCTCAAAGACCCCTGAAGAGCCCAGTGCTGGGTAGCTCACTCCGCTTCCCCAAGTAAAGGCTAGTCTAAGTCAGCTGTTCTCAATCTTTGGTGCATCGAAATCTCTTAGTGGGCTTGTTAAAACACAAATTGCTAACACTCGACTGCAGGCAGGTCTAATCTACCCGACTCAGAAGGTTTGGAATGTGGTCCAAGAACGTGCAGGTGTAACAAGTTTCCAGGTGATGCGGACGCCACTGCCTGGAGCCCTCACCTGGAGACGGGCGCGCTGGGCTAAGCCGCCCTGAGGCACTCCAGCGTCCCTGTTCGCCCCATCACTGGCATGAGCGCAAGCCCTGGCCACAGTTCTAGCCACTGAAAACTAGCAGGAAGTACCCAGATGAGCAAGTTTCTCCTCATTTCTAAAGTAGTCACAAAAGACCTAAGTATATGCTGCCTACAACATAGGCACTTTAAATATAACCACACAGGTGAAAAGTAACCACACTGTTAAAAGTAAAATGCCCACGGCGAAAAGCCTAGGCCCAGAAGGTTTCACTGCTGAATTCTACCAAATATCAGAGAAAAGAAATTGAAGACCAATATGCCTCATAAACGCAGGAGCAAAAAATCTGGGTATTTTAGCAAATGGAGTCCAACCATATATAAAAGGGGTACTTCATCATTACGAAGTAAGGTTTATCCCAGGAATGAAAGGTTGGCTTAACAATCAGCGTAGCTTACCACAGAAAAGGCATATGATAATCTCAACAACAACAAAGCATCTGACATCCATCCCTGATAAAAACTCTCAGCAAATTAAGAAGGAAACACATTTGATCTGATTAAAGGCATCTACAAAAACAGCATTTTTAATAGTGAAAGACTGAACGTGCTTCCCCTAACATCAGGAACAAAACAAGGACTAGAGGTTCTAGCTAGTGCAATCACGCAATAAATAAAAACATTTAGACTGGAAGTAAATAGTCAATCTATGTTTATTCACAGATTACATGATTATCTATGTAAAAAATCCGAGGAACCTACAAAAAAGATACTCGAACTAATGAGGGAGTTTAGGAAAAAGACTGTAGCATACCAGAACATACAAGAGTTAAGTGCATTTCTATACTAGCCACAATCAGTATTTTAGAAATTTCACTTCCCATTTACACAAAAACCATAAAGGATAAATCTGATAAAGGATAGCAAGCCCTATTCGCTAAAAACTACAAAACATTCTGAGAGAAATTAAAGATATAAATGGAAAGACAGACCATGTTCACGGATCAGAAGACTAAATATTGTTAAGATGTCGATTATCCTTCAATGTACCCATTTAACAAAATCCCAAAACTGAAGTTTTCTTGAACAAGAAAGTTCAAGTCTTTCTTGAAGAAATGTGAAAGCTGATTCTAAAATTCATATGGAAATGCAAAGATCCGCGAATAGTCAAAACAACCTTGAAAAAACAATGAAGTTGGAGACCTACCACTGAGTGGGACACACTACAAAGCTACAACGGTAAGGACAGTTTAGTAGGACATGAAGACGGATCAATGGAGAAACAAGATGGCCCAGAACTGTACACATATGGAAAACTGATTCTTGACAAAGTATAAAGACAATTCAATGAAGAAAAGATAGCCTTTTGAGCAAATCATGCTGAAACACATGGATATCTATATACAAAACATAAATTTTGAGCCATACTTCACACAACATCCAAAGTTAACTCAAAACAGATTTACAAAAATGTCAAACCTGGAACTATAAAACTTTTAAAAGAAACCATAGGCAAAGTCCTTGTGTCGGCAATTATTTCTTAGAATTCTTACATGGAAAAATATCCATAAAAGAAAAAAAATTTTTATCAATTGGACTTCACTAAAATTAAAATTACAACTTTGCTCCTTGAAAGACACTAATAGAATAAATGATAAACCACAGATTGGGTAAAAATATTTGCAAATCACCTATCTGATAAAAAAAAAAAAACTTTTATGTACCATATACATAAGAACTCTGCCAACTCAGTAATAAGCAACCCAATTTTTAAAAATGGATAAAAGATTTGAACAGACATCTCACCTAAGAAAATCTATGGATGGCAAATAGCACACAGAAAATATGCTCCTCCTTTGTCATGAGGGAAATGCAAAGTAGAACCACTCTGAGGTACTACTACACACCTATCAGAATGGCTCAAATTAAAAAGACTGGCCATGGCAAGTATGACGAGTGCAACTGAAACTTTCATACGGTGCTGGCATAAACATGAAACAGCCTAGCCACTTTGGGAAAGATTTTGGCAGCTTCCTAAGAAGTTAACATACACCTACTCTCTGTTCCAGCCTCTCAACAGCATTAAGTATTTATCCAAAAGATATGAACGCATGCGTCCACACAAAGGCTAATTTGTAATAGCCAAAACTTGAAAATGGCCCAAATGTTCATTAAAAGACAAATGGATAAAAAAAAAAACATTGTTATATCCACAGTCTAATTGTTTTCACAATAAAAAGGAATGGACTATTGATTCATGTAACAACACAGAATTTCAAATTATCTTGATTGTAAGAAGCCAGACCAAAAACAAATGAAAAATGGTACATACTATATAATTTCGCAGATACGAAAGTATAGGAAAATGCAAACTAATCTAGACTGACAGAAAGCAGACCAGTGGTTGGATGCCTTGATGGGAAGTAGGCAGGAGCAGGAGAGAGGGAATACAAAGGGCCACAAAGAAACTTGGAGCATTAAGATATGTTCACTCTCTCAACTCTAGTGATGGTTTTATGGGTGTGTGTATATGTCAAAACCTAGCAAATAGTACATTTTAATACAAGCACCTTATACTTCACTTCTACCTCAATAAAGCTTTAAAAAAAAAATAACGAGACAGGAACTGTTTTGTGTCCTTCAATGTCCTTGAGACTGGAGTAGCCATTCCAGGTGAATCAGGTAGATTCAGGTGAAACAAACAAGCAGGTGCCCCAGCCCTGACATAAAGGAGCCACTAAATCAGTCAACCACGGAAATTTACTTATTTATTTTATTTGTTTTAGAGGTGAGGGGAGAGACAGAGATGGCAGGGAGAGACAGAGATGGCAGGGAGAGACAGAGAGAGAGACAGAGAATCTTAAGCAGGCTCCACACCCAGTGTGGAGCCCAACACAGGGCTTGATCTCATAATCCTGAGATCATGACCTGAGCCGAAATCAAGAGTCGGCTACTTAACTGACTGAGCCCCCAGGTGCCCTTTATTTTTTACTTACCTTCTTTTTTTAGAGAGGGAGAGAATGGAACTTATCTTTAGACTTCTTTAGTAAGTTATCCCCACTGTTTGATACACACACAAATTCATGTCACTGCCTGAGTCTCTGCTTGTTCTCAAATGCCTCTCAAGGCTCCTGAAACTACTGGGTGAAGCACCGTTCTGCTCATTACCTCTAGCATCGTAAGAAGAACTGCTCATATCTTCTATTAGCTTCCGCCAACCAGGTTGCCTCAGGATTAGGTA